TGGATGACTTCATTTATTATCATTCCCTATTTTTATTTCTTTAGGGACCTCTTATATTTTGAAGCATAGATTTTTGTAAAAAAATCATTGAAATGGTTGTTGTAATTTTTTTTTATATATTTTTCATAATGCTTAGAACATTAATATTAAAGGAGATCATTTATTTTCCCTTTGCAATAAACTTAAGAATGTCAAAGAAGCTTTTAAGCATTGAAATTTGTATAACTCTAATAATCTTTTGATTACATTACAAGTTAAAAGATAAACAAAAAATTATTATGAATAATTTGGACATCATTTCTCTTCGCAAAGATTTACTTGATCAAACCTCTTTTAAACAAGAAAAACTTTATAATGCTCTTTCTTGTAGTTATAAATGGTCAAACAAAAGGGCAACGTGTGAATGATTATCCAAAGAGTAAGATGGGGTAAAGCTTTCCTATCAAAAGATTAGAATTAGGAATTTTAATCAATGATAATTATGTACAATAATAAAAATATTGAATTAATTTCTTTTTTTAAATATTTGCTTAATACTTATGTTAGTGTTACTAATTCTATTTTGATAAATTTCCTATTATTAATACAATATTTTCATTAGATTTCAAAAGCCTTAATAAAGGATTTCTCTAATGAAGAAATTAACAAGGATTATTCTATTGAGAATTACAAATCTCTTGAACATGATGATTTTTCTTTTATAATATTTAAAGATTCTTGCAACGTTATTGGTGAAGATTGTGTTAATGCTATAAAATATTTTTTTAGTTCTGGTAAGTTTCTCAATAAAATCAAACATACTGATATCATCTTAATTCCCAAGAGGTAAGATGCTCAATCTTTAAATCATATTCATCTTATCTCTCTTTGTAATACTTTTTATAAGGTTATTGTTAAGTTGTAAGCTAATAGAATAAAAATTAAACTTTCTTATATTATCAATCATATTCAAGTTGCTTTCATTAAATGGAGAGATAATGTTGATAATAATATTTTAAAAAATGAGCTTCTATGTGTTTTTAAATCAACTAATTCTACTAAGAGATTATGTTCTGAAATAAACTTACTTAAAGCTTTTGATTAAGTAAATTCAAGTTGCTTTCATTAAATAAATGTTGATAATAATATTTTAAAAAATGAGCTTCTATGTGTTTTTAAATCAACTAATTCTACTAAGAGATTATGTTCTGAAATAAACTTACTTAAAGCTTTTGATTAAATTGATTGAGATTTTCTATATGATAAAATGATCAGATTGGATTCACTTATTGACTTTATTCATTGGATTAAGGCAGGTATGACTAATAAACTTACTTAAAGCTTTTGATTAAATTGATTGATATTTTCTATATGATAAAATGATCAGATTGGATTCCCTTATTGACTTTATTCATTGGATTAAGGCATGTATGACTGCTATTTATTTCTTTGTTATTATAAATGATGAAATGAATAATTATTTTATTTCTTTTTCTAACTTGAGGCAAGATTATTCCCTTTCACCTTATTTTTTTACTATTATTCTGAATGCTCTTTCCTCCATTCTAAATATTCAGAATAATTATAGTATGTAATGTTGTTTTAATAAAGTTAATCATCTTATTTTTGCTAATATTCTAAATATATTCATTCATTCATCTAATTTAGATGTTAACTTCTTTAAGCATACTATTTGTTGTTTTAAGATTATTGATTCTATTATGTAGCAGACTTTATGTAATGTTAGTGGTATGAATATCAAACATTTAACTTGGAAATACCTTGGTATTATTATTAATTGTTCTAAGCTGAATGTGATAGATTTTCATATTATTATTGAAATGCTTCATAAATGGTTGACGGGTTGAAAGCAAAAAATTTTATTTATGACTGATCAATTTCAATTAATCAATTACACCATTTGATGTTATCGTTGTTATTAGTTATGATATATATCTTTGACTAAATATATTAGGAAAAAAAATTTCTTTCATTAGTAATCTTTTTCATAATAATGGTGATAATAAAATGACAACTATTTCTTAGAAAATAATTTTTTTACCTAATGCTCTTAGAGGTCTTAATATCATTTCTTTAAATCATAATAATTTGATATGTAAAGTAAAAGTTATTTAAAGGCATTTCAACTTTAACTCTTTTTTAGCTAAATGGAATATGGATAATTCTGATATCATTTGGATCAACACTATATCTAAAAGCTCTACTTTTTTGAAAGACCTTACCAAAGTTGCTTTTAAAATGAGATGCCTTTTATTTAAAGTTATACTAAGAGCAATTTTCTTTTCTTCTTTGATCCAAGACTTAAAGGATCCTTTTTAATTGTGAAATAATGGTAATACAATTTTTATTGGTTTCCTTTACTTAAATTTATCAAAAATAAAGATGTTATTGTTAATGACTATTGTTCTTTTTCTCAGCACTGGAATATTTTGACTTGTTGTTTACTTCTTATTCATAGCATCCCTATTTTTTGATAACAACGTTAGCTAACGTTGGAATGAAAATGATTATTATAAGAACAAATTTGTATTAATTTATTAATGAAACTTTACTTATTGGAGATTGAAAAATATTAATTTGGTATAAAGGCTATTCTATTAATTTGGTTTTTCCTTCTTAAGAAGTTATTAATATTGATCTTAAATTTAGTGATATTCTTAAATCTTAAGATATTAATACTATTTCAATTTTTTTCTATACATTAATTATTTATAAACATATAATTGTTTATTATTTGAATATTCACTTTCTAATAATTTATTGAAGAACTGTAATCCTATTAGAAAATTTTTCATTATTGCTAGCAATTTTTTTTCATGTTTTTAACATGCTAAGAGTATTAGTTACAATATTCACTAGAGATTTTACATTCTAGTTGTTCAAACTATTACTTATGAGATTTGATTTGAAGGAACAATGAGATTTTTAATAATTCTAATGTCTCTCCTTGTATTTAATTCATTTTTTCTGATTATTCATTTGGAGGATGGTTTTGTTTAATTTTTAGTCATTGATGTGCCCACTTTTTTACTTTTGATCTCACCCGATTCTCTATTCTTCTTTGCATCATTTTGTTATCCTTATATTTAATGAATGCTTTGTTTACTTACACTTTGATTGGGGGTAGCCTTAATTTTGACTTTGTTCTGTTGGGTTGTTTTGAGACATTATTATGAAGCTTATTTTAGTCCTCTTGGTTGGCTGTGTATATAAAGCTTTTCATTAGTTTTGATATTTTTTTATTCCCTTTTTTTGTATATTATCTCTTTTAATAAGAATATATTTATATTTATTTTTTTTTTTTTTTGAAAAGTTTAGGATTGGTTGACCCGTGATGATGTCCGACCTTTTATTAAAATTCAACAATTCTTTTGAATATTTTTAATGTTCATTAGCTCCTGGAAGGAATTCTAATAATTGTGCAGTTAAGTTATATGTTTAGTGTCTTTTCTGTCTTTTCATTCCGTTGATTAAGTGGATTGTGGCTATTACTCTTTTTCTTTTTTATTTTGAAATTATTTAAGATAGAAATTCCTTGGCTATCTTCTTATTTTAATTTATGTTTTGCGATGAGAGAACGATTGTTGAATAGAGACGTTGATTTGGTGCTAATTGGGATGGACTAACATTTTTTATTTCTTTTTGTTCGATCTTATGGAGCTACTGTTGTTGGAATTGGAGGTTCACATTTGCTCTATAATTTATAATTATGAGAAGAACAAACTTGTTTCTCCATTGAAGATACTGATCTTCTGGACTCTTTGCATGAAATTTTTGGTGTTTAAAGCTATTGCTATTTTGATTTAGTTTTTTCTTCATTTAAATGTTAGCTTTTGTTTCACTTAGTTTGTTTATAGCTATTGCTTTGTTTTTTTTCATTTCTTCTTTGTTTGGTGTTGAGTTGTAAGAGTGTTTTTATATATTTTCTTTTTCTTTGAATAATGTTGGAGTTGACTCTTATTAAAAAAAATCCTCCACTAAATGAGAAATGACAGTCACTCACATGGTATTAAAGTCTCATTTGAGGGAGTGTAATAGTTTATAAAAATTCTTTTAAAACTCACATGAGGATAAGTGCCTTAAAAAGCTCAGTTTGATGTGCTGAACATTTCTGTTTGAGAAAGAAAATTTGCATCTTAAGTTTTTATTAAAAAGTATGTAAGAACCATAAATCTTTCGACGACAATGAATCAAACGTGGAACAATGGAAGAACCAATCGGTGGCCCTCGCATTTTAAATTTGTCTAAAATAAATATTGCAATGGAAGAAAAGGTCAAAGCATTTCACATCCAAATGTCAGATTCTCGTTTTCTCCACTTTTGCCACACCGAGATCAAGAGAAGAAGTCTTCTCTAACGTAGCCCAAGGGTCCGTTTGAAAGCGCAACACAAAATCGTTCTCTCGTCGAGAACGCTGACAATCCCACGCCTATGTTTGTTTCAGCATCATCTATGTCAGATTCTCGTTTTCTCCACTTTTGCCACACCAAGATCAAGAGAAGAAGTCATCTCTAACGTAGCCTAAGGGTCCGTTTGAAAGCGCAACACAAAATCGTTCCCTCGTCGAGAACGCTAACAATCCCACGCCTATGTTTGTTTCAGCATCATCTTCTCGAGTTCCGTTAACCACAAAATATTTTTTCTCTATTTCAGAACACGAGATAACCATCACTTCTGTCCACAGGCCACAACTTTCTGTTGTTCATAAAATAAAAATGTTCCAAGTCGGTAGTCCATCTCTTAACTTGAGTGAATGAATTTTTTAATTTTTAGAGATGATTTTATAATAGGATTCAAAAATACACATCAAATTAAATATTCAAAATACAAGATTTTAGGAGCTACAATTCTATAAAATAATTTCTTAAATTATTAAACCAACCCTAAAGTCTCGGGGACATGTAATCGTCAACGTGGTCGATTCCCAGACCTGTACGGAAACGAACTCCTTTGGCTTTATTAATACCCTCGTCCCCAAAAAAAATTACGTCGGACCACTACCTCACCAGGGCGGCGCGCTAGTCCCTCACTGCCAGTGTTTTGGTTCTCAACTTCCTGCGCTGTCTGCCATGGTACCCTCCGGCCATTCATCGTCGCCTTCGCCGCCACACGTGGTTTTGTTCGCCTTCCCCTTCGGAACGCACGTCTCGCCGCCGCAGCTCCGGCTGCGATCTTATCTTTCGTGAGCACAGCTGAAACCCTCGAAATCCTCCCGCGAAACACCGGAAATCTTCGGCTGTTACCATTCGCGGAGGAGATCCGGGATGGTGGATCCTCTGCTGGAATTGAGGAGGTGATCGGAAAGTTCTTGGAGTCGGCTCCCGGGAAAATACGTGCTGCCGTGAAGGCCGCCGCTGCAGATGCTGGCGGGATACCGGTGAGCTGCGTGGTGAGCGATTCGTTTTTGTGGATGGCGGATTTTGTGGCAGAAGAGATCGGGGTGCCGTGGGTTGCTGTTTTTACAGGGTTTCCGTTGGCGTTGTTAGCACACATTCACGCAGATGATTTGCGCAGCCATTTCGAATGTGAAGATAAAGGTAATCAACGATGTTTGATATATAGAAATTTACTCTAGATTGATTATGGTGATATCACTTGTGTTGAAGATGCCTTGAGCCGTCTTTTCATGCTTGGAGTAGGGAGTATGTTCTAGTGTGGGCATGACTCCATATGCCCCCAATTATAAATTTATCTATGCTCGCAAGCACCATCCTGCTTGTCTAGCTTAACATATGCCTTGCCAAATGGTGATCTCATGAGAATGAAGGCATCAGCCTGCGTGAAGCTAGATGAATTCACCTGTAAATTGTTTTTCTCATTAAGTGTTGTTTAGTCTGATTCTAGATTTGTTTGCTCTGATGCATACTATTCCTGTCCTGATCAGATAGGTCGAACTTCTACGGACTAGTCGAACTGGCTCATGCTCGTATGGGCTCTACATCAATTAGATTGAGCTACATGGAGACTAATTCATGGTTTGGTCTTTGTCTCGAATATATATTTGAATTTTTGAGATTTGGTTCAGGGTTCTTTTGTTAAAAAGGAAATATAGGAGATGCCTATGGGTTTATTTGTTAAACATTGTAATGCTCTATATAAGCATTTGTCATGAATGAATATAGTAAGTTTTTTTGGAGCAATTTTTTCCTTTTGGTATCAAAGCCCCACGCGATCTAACTCTAGCTGGCAAAGTTGGCTTACGCTCGGACAAAGCAGAAGCCCTCGCACAATCCTTTATGCATCACATGGGATCTAGCTCGTCGAAGCCCTCACCGTTCTACCCTGTACGCCCGTGGCCAAAGAGCTGAAGCCCTCGCCGTTCTTCCCTATGCCTGCACGACCCAAGAACCGACTCTCCCTCCACCAGACTGCTGTTACTCCCTCCACCTTACCGCTGCTCTTGCACTAGCAGGTTGTTGCTCCCGTCTCCACCCCTCTACTTTCCTCTCACTTGGTCGCCGCTCGCTCTCTCTTGGCCTTGCCTCTTTCGGTTTCGATCGACCACTGCATCAAGAAGATCTTGTCCGCAAGTTGATAGGGCAGGGGGATATACCCCACAAATCCTGAGGAATGGGTTGATATGAGGAGGTTCTTGATCTTGATGGTGAGTTTAGATAAAAATCAGGTTAAGAAGAGGAAGTTGAGTGTGACCTAGGCTTGAATCCTTGTGATTGAGGATGTCAGGAGACAATGATAGTGCATGAGGTAGAAGGAATGAAGCTTTTGGGGAAGATTAATTTTGAGGTTCTGAAGGTATTGGTTGGGCTCATATAGGAAGCTAGCGTCTCGACGAGTTCTGCGTGTTCATTGAATGATTATTGATATGCTGTGACTTTAATGATTTTTTTTCTTGTATTATATGGTTGTATCTGATGAAAAATAGGGGTTTTGTGTTTGCTTGCTTTAAAGATTTCCATAAGGCAACCTTGATTCAAGGTGGTGTAGTTGAGAAGGTATTGAGGTCTGTTAATGAGACAAAGTATATCAACAAGACATTTAGAAAATACTTGTTAGCCTAAGGGATACAACATCAAATCACATGCTCATACCTACTGACAGAAATAGAGTAGCATGGAGGAAGAATTGACATCTTCTAGAGATTGCCCGAAGCATGATGATCACAATGAATATTCCGAAGCATTTGTGGAGGCAAGCATTGACAGCTGGACAGTTGATCAACAAAATGCCCTCAAGAATGTTGGATTGGAAGTTGTATTGTCAAATGTTGAAAAAAGATAATAGCGAGATTCTTTCATTGAAGTATTTGATTGTGCATGTTAGTAAAGGACAATAGACTATTAGTAGAAAGTTGAATCCCAGAATTGTGAAGTGTGTTTTCGTTGGTTATTCTGTTACCTAGAAATGACATGTTTGTTGGAGCTCGATAGAGAAAAACTATTTGTGACCATAGATGTATTCTTTAGAGGATTCAAATTGTACTACACCCTTGAGGTGACCTCGCCTTTAGTGACTCCTCAAATACTTGAGGTATGAGGTAAGAGGGGGTGAGTAGTAATAGTGAAAGATTAGTACATGTGGGAGCAGCGACTTGTCCTGTGATGTGGGATGAATCGGCTGAGGAGTCAGAAAATATGAAGATTGAACATGGAGGTGGTGGGATTCAGGCTAAAGGAGAGCTGAGGAAGTATACAAGAAGGAGAAAGCATTATGAGGGAATTGTGCTTGTAGTGCCATTCGTGCAAGCTAGTCCCTTATCTCAGTCTATTCTGTCTCTTGAGACACCTAGACCATCCATCGCAGACTCAAAATTCACAGGTGATATGATTCTTGTGTCTTCTACTTTTAACCCCATAACCTTACGGAGGAACTCTCACAACATTGTAGGACTTTTTCCTAATCGTTTTGAGTGGGAACATCGCAATGCTCAGTTTCTTTCATACTTTAATATATCACCTGAACATGGAGGATTCATTACATCTTTAAACGATGTCTTTATATGTACCCAAGTGTTGACAAGTAGCTAAGGAGGATCCGAAGTGGAAAGCGGCCATGCAGGAAGAGCTTGGGGCCCTAGATAAAAACCGAACATGAGAGAGTGCCACCACCAGTGAGAAAAAGAGCATTTGGGTGCAAGTGGATCTTCATAGTGTAACAAAATCCAAAAGTGAAGGTAGAGTGTTACAAAGTACGATTGGTGACAACAGATATAGCCAGACTTTTTTTAGTTCTTTTTAAATTTGGAGTAGCCAGCTTGTCTAGTTATCATTATATATTTATCTTTTCCAAATAACCTTCTTTCTTGTGTCAGTGAGATGTTTGAGAGAAACAAGAGAGCTCGGAAGACCATAAGATAAGACAAAACTAGAAAAACAAATTAAAAAGAAACATGAAAAACTCGTGTAAAGTCATCCTCGTACGATACGTCAATAGCGTACGTCCAAATAAGATCAAATCAAGACAACTTGAAACCGTTTCTATGTAGAAGTTTCCTACATAAATAACCCATAGAACCAGTGAACCAAAATTATATATTTTGTTCTGGGGTTAAGAGGAGTCTCAAGGGAACGTCTCTTTGGTTAATTACATCTTGAGGAATACCCATGAAAACTCTCAATAATAAGAATCATGTTAAAAAAATTATGATAAGTAATGAAATAGGTGTCTCAAAGGAGAACAATTATCTCAACTAGGAACATTCAGTCACCTCCAACACTTATACCGAGCTAAACGAGAGGATGAATCCCTCAAATCCATAAATGGATGACGGCCTATCACCGAACAGAGCCAAGGAGATAATTGTGTCTACTCAACTAGAACATCTCTACGCTTCAAAGTGTACCAAGTCATAAAGGCAGATGATGAATTACTATATCCTAAACTGGCGACGGTTTATCATCAATTGGGATTGTCAAGATGATATTAAGGAAGTGTCAAAGGGAACACTTGGCTCAAAAGGGTTTTACTAAATAAAGGTAGGAAATCCTAGTCAGGTAGAGATAGTCGGGCTAGAACTCTATGGATTCATCAACACAAACTATTAAGACCCTAGTTCTACCTGGTCGTAAAGTTAGTCAACCCAATAGCCATGTCATGCAAATCGTTTTAAAATTAGTCTGAAAGACATTTAAACAAGCTACTGCTGATTTTAAAAATTTGTAATATTTTAATCCTAGATATTGATTAGTCTTAATTATTTATCATTAAGATTTTATATAAAAAGAAAATTTTATGTACTTAGATAGTTTAGATTGCATTATACGATGAGCCCAAACAAATCACATTCATAAGAAAGCAAAAATGTGAACACTCGCTGCAAAGTAATCATACATAAATAATAAAGTGACAGGTGTCTTTAGGTCGACAAGATATCCTAAAAAATAGAGAAAGACGGTCAGGATCCACATATATATATTTGGTGCTACTTTTATACAAGAATAAAGATTTAGAATTAAGAGACAGGACATGATCTTTTGCTCTTGTTTCTTGTTGCGTGGTTCCACACGTCAAGTGCCTCGGAACTTATGCCCGTACTTTATTTCTGATATACACTCATTCCTTAGACTCTAATTAAAATACATATAAAAAGGCTAAAATATGACTCGATTTGCATAGAAAAGGGTCAACACAAGTTATACACATGCAACACGATGAACCATTTTCGATGGGAGGAAAGCTAAGCAGCATCTGCACAAAATGTGTCAGCATAAATCATGACAGTTCCTCCCATTTTGGACATGACTCCTTGCAAGAAAACCGTCCTAACATGTTATTGCATATGTCTCAAACTTGGTAAACATACAAAGCATCAAACAAAATGCCCTGCTAGACACAAACCATCGATAATAGCCGAACATATAAATAATTTGAACTACACCCTACCCAATTCTAGCAAGCATCTAAAACAAGGCGTCCTAACATAAACATCTAAGTGTGTGCAGAAATTATGGCTAAGGCTACCATATGTTTGACAAGGTCGCCGTCCCCGACCCTATCCTAACGATCCAAGAATTTTAATATGCACCACTAAATGCGATTTTATACAAGCATAAGGTTTAAAAGAATTGATATTACGTACGGTCTAAACTAGAAACACATTAATTTTAATTTAAGTTTTAAACATGACTATTAATATTAAAAATATAATTTTGTAGTAATTTTAAAATATATCTCAAGGAAAGAGATGCCTAAGTGGCGTATATTTGTTCTCTTGGAATTTTAGCACAAACATAAACGTGCTACTCGCGATGTGATAATTTGCATTTCTCATCGAGATATCTTTGCAAGTAATGCTCATTAAGGTATCGCGATCAACATCATAAGGATGGCTAAGGCTGACATATGTCTTTGATGGGGTCCCCGTCCCTGACCTTATTCTAAGAATCCAAGAATTTTAATACACGCCACTAAATGCGATTTTATACAAACAAAAACTTAAAAGATTTGGTATTACATATGATCTAAATCAGAAATACATTAATTTTAAATTAAGTTTTTAAACATGACTATTAATAATAAAAAATATAATTTTTTTGGTAAATTTAAAATATATCTTAAGGAAAGAGAAGCCTAAGTGGCA